CCAGAACTGCTGCCATCCCAGTGTAGGGCCCACGTCTTTGGTGCTAAGATCCAGATGCTGAGTTCCTTTGCTGTAACTGCCAACCCTTTTTCAGGCCTGTTTCTCTTGGAATCAGCCTGGATGCATCTGTGAAGGGAGGGGATGGTGGACACAGGTCTAGGATGGGGCCTTTGGCCTTGGCACAGTCTGTTAAACCATGGTGTGGCTCCCTTGCCTGCTGAGGAGCAGGGAAGGCTCAGGTCATTGTGTCAGATGGATGCTGCTGCTCCTCTCCCAGGTGTTTATTCCATAACTCTCCAACTTCCCCTTTACAACTGTTAATTTTAGTAGGAGGAAGATTCTTGGTCTCACGTGCTTAAAACCATCAGCCACCTCTCTGGGAAGAGAAATCCCATCATTCAAATCTCACCCAACCTTTGTCTTCTAAACAGCCCTACCTTATTATTTACTTATTTCACAAGGAAAGTGGGAGATGGGGGATTTTGGGCTGTTCCTTGGCTTTGTCAGCAAACAACTGCAGCTTTTATAATGTACTGGGTTTTTCCATTCCCCTTCTAACATTCACACACCGTAGCACACACAAGGCACAGCACCACGAGCTGCACGTCCGTGCCACCATCAGCCAGGCGGGCACTGGTCCTGCCACCACCTCACTGCCTCCAAGGCAGGACACTCCCACAGAGGGCTCTAATCGCTCTCGGGCTGCCAGCAGGGGTGTTCCATAGCACTCGGTTTCAGATAACACCGAACCGTTACAATGGCTGACATCTGGCACCGTCTGCCTTAGGGCAGCACCGGGGACTCGGTCAGGAGGGCGCAGCCGCTGGCCCTGGAACCGAGTGAAACCGGGCCAGCCCCGTGCCACCGGGCCAGCCCGGCTGCTGGGCCAGGGCAGCTGCTCTCTGCTCCCACAGCACATTCCCTGATCCTGCTGTTCCCATGGAGCACTCAGCTCCCCTCTGATCCTTCAAGGGAAATGCAACCCCCCCAGCCCAACAAACCAACCCACACTTGTTGATATTAATAACTCATCATCAGCTGATGATGTCCCTGCAGGGTTAAAGTGAAAAATAACAGCATCATTAGACTGAGTTACGCTCCCTGCTTAGCAGGTCGTGACACCAATCATACCTGAGAGGAATTTTAGAAGGGTTTTTGGCAACCCTCAGCAAGTGAGCTGCTGGGTCACAGAGATTGGTGCGAGACAAATCTGGTTCTCCCACGAATTTGTTCACTTGCTTACTAAGAGAACAACAACAAAAAACCACCTGCAAATCTAAAGAAACTTTAAAACGTAGCATTTTTAATCCCACACAATTTTCTGTCAGTCTCCTAAAATCTACAGGCATCATTTTAAAAAATAAAAATATCCCCAAACAGAACAGTGTGGATTTTAACTCCAGCTTGGACTCGTTACCACATCCTTATGCTGCTGAGCACTCAAGGGGTCTGGCCTCCCAACCAACCACCTCAAAGCACAGACAGCAAAGGTGATGCATCCATCCCGTTTTAGAGCTCAGATTTTGATCTCCAGTGGTTCCTCTGTTAGAGGTCACCTGTGGTAACAGAACACATTCTCAGCCAGACAGACATGTTTCTGTCTGGTTTTGTAAGCCTGCAAACAAATTTAAACCTTAGGGGAAAAAAAACCCGCAGTTTATCTTTCAATAAAGGATTCCAGGTAGTACAACATGATTGATTGCAAATGGGCACCTCCAGCTCACCAAACACCTCCATGCCCCTAGCTTGTCCACATCGAATACGGGCCCATGGGGGTTCCCCCTTAAATCACATTTTTTTTCTTCTGCTTGTTTTGCCTTTTATAAAAATCGGTAATGTCAAACCTTTTTTGCTTTATCCAAGAACTGCTATGACTGAGACATGTGCCAGGTGGTCTCAAACCTCACCAACCTGAATAGTGTCCACTCCTCAGTAGCAAACTTTTTGCCAAGTATCAACTAATTATTTGGTGTGAATGAAAAACACTTTTATTCTTGATCAGGATTTGCTTCCTTGGTTGCTGGCCTCCTGGGAAGCTTCTATTCTCAAATAGAGACTCAACAGCAAAGCATCCAGACTCAAATTTACAAAATAAAAAGCAAACAGGACAAAAGAAAAACAGAGAACCAACCTTTCAGTCTCTGATACAGCACTAAGAACCTCCCTTCCCCTCCCACCTTGAAGGACACATATAAAGATGAAGGAGGTGCTCAAGGTTGGGATCTGAGAACTGCACTGGGCTGGGGCCTGGCTGCTCCTGCAGCACAGGGAACTCACCCTTCCTGCCTGGGCCACAAGAACTCGGATACCGCACAAGTTTAGAAATCCATCAGTGAACAAGGCTTTACTGACAACTTTTCATACAGTTAAAAAATAAAAATACAGAACAACAGCGGACAGTGTCACATATTAAAAACGAATAAAATGGGCTCTATTTAAAATTTTAATAGATATTATAGGTATTAAAATTAATTAGAAACTAAAAATCTTACCACTTTGGTCAAGGTGTTTTGAGCCTCAACCAAAATGATCAGCCTTAAAAACAATTGGGCTGTGTGACACACAAAGAAAACATGGAATTTGAAAAGACAGTGTGGGCTAGGCAGTGTCTTTGACTATAACTATCACCATATGTTCTTCTTCTAACTTCCCCAATGTCCTTAGTGCTGACTGGAGGTACTGCTGAGAGAACTCGCAAGGAGGGAACGCGTAAAGCATGCCTGTGCTGTCCCTGCCCTTTGCCCCTCCCACGGGCAGGCTGATAACCCCAGCAGCCTGCTTCTGTTTCAAGTAGGAGACCAGATTCCTGAGAAGCCGTCGCTGCAAGCCAGGCTCTACCACAGGGAAGGTCCCCTCGGCCCCTGCCCCTGCCGGGGCGGACTGGGTGGCCAGGAGCACGGCGTAGCCGTTGGGGCTGCCTTGTTTGATGCGCCGGGTGACTTCATCCAGCTTGGGCTGGTCCAGCCGAAGTCTCTGAGCGATTTTGAGCTGCGTCAGCTTCCCGCCGGATGAATGGTCTTTGAGGAGTCCGTTGATGACACCCAGGTCTCCCTCCAGGATGTGCATAGAGGTGGGGAAGCAGCTGTTTTTTAGCACAAGAAGCCCATTCCAAGCAAGCTGCAGTGTCTGAGCATATTCTGATAAATTCTTTAGCTTTTTGGTCTCGGATTTTGGCTCCTCGTGAGTTTTGGATTCCGATTCACCAGTTCGATGATTGCGTTCGCTGTCCCTTTTTTTGGGCTGGGGAGCGTCGGCCGGCTCGCGATGGGGTTTCTCCTCGGCCGCGTGACGATTGTTCTGGAGGGAGTTGCTCTGCTCCTTCTCGGCTCCGGGCTCTGTAGTGTGATTCTCCTTGCGAGCCCTGTCAGGGCTGCGGTCTAGAGCTGGCCCACTGGCCTTTGTCCTGCTTCTGTCCTCGTAAGGCGAGTGAGTAGTCCTCCCGCGGTCACTGGAAAGACTGCGGCGCCTCCGCCTCTCTTCCCACGGTTTGGGCACGCTGCGGTCGCCGTCGCTGCCCCAGCGCTCCCCGCTCCGGCTGCGCACGGACCGGCTGTAGCTCTCCAGGTTGTTCCTGCGCTCGGCGTTCTTGGCGGGGCTGGCCCACTCTGCCTCCACAAAGCTCCTGTCTCTGTCCGAGTACAGGAGGTGCGGAGGAGTCCTATCCCGCACCCTCAAGTCTTGCTCCAGGCTCCGGTGCCGGCTGTACCCGTCAGCCAGCAGCTCGTAGTGCACAGGGAGCGGCGCGGGCTGGTACTGCTGCGGGTATCTGGTCTCTTCTGCTTTGGCAAAATCCACTCGGAGCCTCCTCTCCGGTCCGCCCAAGGGAAAGCCCCTCATCTGCGCGCAGGCGGCCTGGGCAGCGTCCAGGCTCTCGTACTGGATGTAAGCGAAGCTGTCGCCCTTCACGTAGTCAATAGTCCTGATGCTGCCAAAGCGGTCGAACTCCCTGGCCAGGGCGGCCAGGGAGGTGCTGGGGCCAAGGCCCCCCACCCACAGCCGGGTGGTGGGGTTGGCTTTTCCGTAGCCGATTTTGATGGGGTTCCTGCCCACAACACGGCCCGACATGGCCACCTTGGCCCGGTGAGCCATGTCCAAGTTCTGGAACTTGAGGAAGGCGTAGGCACCGCCCTGGCCGCGTGCGGGGCGCTTGATCACCACCTCCTCGATGATGCCGTACTTCTCGAAGGCGCGCCTCAGCTCCACCTCCGACACGTTGTGGTCCAGGTTGCCGATGAAGAGGTTGCGGGTGGCTCTCTGGTCGTCCTCTGGCATCAGGTCTTCCTCGGCCACGATGGGGTAACTGTACGGGCGGCCGCGCTCGTCGTACAGCCCGTAGTAATCCAGGGCCCGCTCCCGCTCCCGGGAGAGCCCGATGGCGGCTGCTTCCAGCGCGAAGGCGGCGGCGGCGGCGTGGCGGGGCCGCGGCTCCCGCAGCAAGGGGCTGGTGACCGGCGACAGCGAGCGCTGCTTGTATTGGTAGGCGCTGTGCAGGGGCGGCAGGTACCCCAGCGGCTCCGGGGAGGGCGCGGGGGGCGGCGTGCGGCTGCGCCGGCCCCCGCGCAGGTACACGGGCTCCACCTTGAGCGGCCGGTCGTAGAGGAGCAGCTGCCGGGCCCGGGCGTGCCGGCGGGCGTCGCGGGCGTCCCCGGGGTGTCGGAAGTTCACGTAGGCGACGCGGCCGAGCTCGGGCGTGTGGGAGAGCTTGACACTGATGTCCCCGGCGCCCCCGCCCGCGAAGCGCTGGAAGAGGCGGAACAGCCCGTCCTCCAGCAGCTGGTCGGGCAGGGCCGCGCTCAGCCCGCTCACCAGCAGCGTCTTGTACTCGCAGGAGCCGGGCGGCTCCCCGGCCAGCCCGGCCGAGCCCCCGAGCGGCGCCAGCAGCAGCGAGGGCGCGGCGCCCGGCGGCGGCCCGGCCAGCAGCAGCGACGGGGCTACCACGGCGCCCGGCAGCGCCTTGGCGGGGAGCGAGCCCCGCAATCACGGCACACGGCACGGCTCCGCCCGGTACACTCCGGCGAACTTTAATGAAAGTCCCGTACAAAGCGCGGGGCCGGCGTCGCCCCTCAGAGCCTCGAGGCCGCCCCTCACAGTCCCCTCACAGGCCCGGTGTCGCCCCTCGGAGGCCCAGGATCGCCCCGGCCCTCAGAGGTCCGTCCGGGCGCCGGCCGCCCTCGGCGCGTACTTGGGCATCAGTTCGTGGATCCTGCGGATGAAGTCGTACTTCTCGACGCAGCCCTTGCACACCTCGCCCCAGTCATCCAGGATCCGCCGCAGCTCCTTGACGCGCAGCTTGCGCAGGTCGGCGGTGCTGAGGTCGATCTGCTTGTCTGTGGGGAGAGCAGAGCTGCGCTCAGACACGCCCGGTGGGCGAGGAAGCCAAAAGCCAAGGGGGAAAGAGGGGCCAGGGGTGGAAGGAACGTCTAAGTTAGGGTTGGGCAGCAAATAAGGCTCTTTATGGTAACAATTATTAGAAGACAGAAAGCTTGGTTGTAGTTTAGATGCAGGAGTCCCACATTAGCCCTGAAAGCCCCTTTATTACACGAGCAGCAACACTTCTTTTTCATTGGATAAAAGAAATGTGATTTCAAGGGAAAGATAAGAAAGTGACAATAACAAAAAGCTTTTTAGGAAGCAACACGACCTTAGTAGGAGAAATGAAAAATATAAAGATCCACAATCCAAGGGGTGTCTCCAGGGGGTGTAAGGGCAGCTATAAGGGAAAGCAGGAGGAGGCATTTCTATGCCTGTTTTTGTATTGGTCTTTCAGGAAGAGGAGTAATCTAGGAACATGAGTGTTCGAGGAAGGTGATGAGAAACAGAGAGTGGAATGCTCTGAGGAGGCACCAGGGGAGGTGAGAAAGCAGCATTTATCACCCTGCTGCTGGGAACAGGAGAGCAGCTGGGACTGCAGAGCTCAGCCACGGCCCTGAGCCCTGCCACAGTGACACCCCTGCCTGCTGCCAGCACAGGCTGTGGCACACACCCTCCCAAACATGACATTCCAAACAGCAACGTGAGCACAGCAGTGCTGCTACACCTGGGAGTTAGTTTTTCCAGGGTGATCAGAGTCCCTGCAGAAGCAGGAAGGGTTAGCAGTCTTACCTAAGCATCTCCATACAACTCTCTAGGATGTTCATGGAGAGCAACCTAGGTTGTGCAACCTAACTAGGCTACAGAACTCAGGACTGAGGAGTTTTAGGATGTTGCTTCACCCTCAGTCATCCACACCCCAGCAAATCATGGGCATTTCCTCTTGTACAGGCAACTCACCGTATTTTAGTTCACAGATCTGACTGTCTTTCTTCTTTAGCTTCTCACAGATCTTTTCCACAGGGATGTGGTGACTCATGGGCTTTGATACCTCGTTAATGATTTTGGTGGCTGCATCACTCGTGGCCCCAATGTAATAGCACTAGAGGAAAGAAAAGAGTGAAGTGGGGATGCATGGAAAAAAGCTTCTAAAAGCAGAGTTTTCTGTTCCTGTCCTCATGTGGTTTTGCAGCTCGATGTTTACACTTACAGAACCTCCCCAAGGGACTGCCAGAGCTGGGCAAAAGGAGCCTGAGCCCAGAATACTGAGCAGGTGTTTTCCATTGCAATGATTTTACAGCTGCTGAGGCTGGTCTTGTTTCTTAACTTTATAAAAATTGAACAGGATTAGGAATAAAGTCTTCTTCATGCAAAGAGCCTCTCTGAAGTGTTCCCCTCTGCATGTCAGATGGTATCTCTGTAGTTCTCTGAGGAGAGTTCAGGCCTTTTCCTTGGGCCTCTTCATTCACAAATTGCCTCTGGTTTTAGTTAGGGCAATTTGGTTTTCCTTTATTTAGTTTTCAGCTAAACAGGTGAAGAGTATAAATATTTTAACAGATTATATAGCACCCCAAATACCATTTAAGGGATGGGGAAGCCTTACAGCAAACAAAAGCTTTGTAATATCCGGTGCTTCAGTTACAGTGAGATGCCAGCCAGTCCAATCACTGCTGACAGGGTGGTGGGTTTTTTTCCTTTTTTTTAGGTAAAGAGATTGAACTCCTCAAGTCCTTTCATAAAAACTACAGGACCCACTGTGGCCACAGAGCCAGCAAAACCAGCCCCTGGGAAGCCACATCATACAAACTCAGCTTCCCCTCATTTGCAGGAGGGAAATATTACTGACTCCCCTACTTACCAGGCGATTCTCTTTGCCCTTTGCTTCTTTGCAGGATTTCAAGAGCTCCTTTTCAATACTGGAAGGTGTGAATTCAACATCATTGTCCTTTAGACTCTGGTAGAACCTTCCCAGGAATGTGACACACACTGGAAGGGAAGATGGATGGAGTTATCAGCCAGAGCAGCAGTCTCATGGCAGCTCTCAGGGGACACTTGCAGGGAAATGGAATTGGGGGTTTGGAATACAGAATTTTCTGAACTTCACCCATGGTTCAGAAGGTCATTCAGAGCACATGTGAATCAACAGCATGCCCTGGTACTTTTGGAGGCTTTGTGACAACCTGAGGAATGAGATCCATGGGAGTGTCTAGGGGTCTCTGTACACTGTCCTGAGTGAGCACAGGATCGTGTGATGGACACAAAACCACACCCATGCAAAAATGTACATTTAAAGTTGTCTTGCTGCTTTGGGAAGCAACTTGTAAGGACATGGGTGTCAAACCCAGTGCTGACTGAAAACCAACTCTGTACATAATCCTCTGAGACTCCCCATGAGCTGACTTCAGTAACAGGGGGTCACTGATTACCAGGCTGCTTCAGCTGAAATTACTTCCAAGAGAAAAAGAAATGTGATCCCATGCTATGTCCCCAAGGCACTTTTTCCTTCTTTCATTTCCACAAGCTTCTGATGCAATTTCAGATGGAAAGAGGGAAGACTCTTAGACATAACACAACTCCCACAAGAGCAGCTGCAGCTGAGAGGACAGATCCAAGCTCCTGCCTGTGGGAAGGGCTGCACAAGCCGGTCACTGCTCCTTCCCCTGCTCCTTCCCGTGGCAGCAGTCGCTCTGCACGTGCTCCAAAGTGCAGCAGCCCCGTGTGTGGCTGGGAAGGAGGGCACACAGCCTGTGGGATGACTGAGGGACACCCCGAGTGTCAGATTTTGGTCATCCTGCTGCTCACAACTCATCTGTGGATGTCAGCATCTCCTGGACTGAGCGCTCTTCAGTGCCCCCAGTTCCTGCTCAGCACCTGGAGATTCTCACTCCTTCCCATGCAAGATGAGTGCCAGGAGCCATTCTGCCTCTAAGGAACAGGTATGAGTTATGGCTTTTATGGGATTTGTTTACTCCAGCAGGAAGGGACTGGCACATATCATTGTCATTAGCAGCTTGTGTTCAACTCAGAACACAATGCATGGCACAGTAATTGGGCATGACAGGAAATGGAGTATGGCCATCACAGACTGAGCAGAAATGTACTCTCATTATATTAAAACTAGAACTAATTATAAGATGGGCCATTTTGGAAAACACTTTTTGTATGCATACAGCACACCCTTATTTACCTCCCATCAGTCTGTCCCCAGTCACAGACACACTGATGTCCACTGTAAGCTGTTGGGGAGTGAAAACTTTGGGAAGAAAAAACTTCCTGCAGGCAGTAACACTGATGGCCACTGAAGGATAGAAACATGTTTCCAGTCTAGTGCTGTGACAGCAGCTGAAGTTTTGATTTATGGGGTTCCCTCCCCTCACTCTGTCTTACTGTAGAAAAGGGATATTAGTATCCCAAACTCCCAAACAGCTACTGGAGCACCCCCTCAAGTTCTTCTTGCTTCACTTGGGGAAGCTGTTCAGTTCACTGCACAGGAGCAGCTTAATTTGCTGCGCAGCTCAACAGGTTCCACCCCCGAGGCGTTTGTGTTTCCGTGGTACACAAAGGGCCCGAACTGATCGGGATCAGCTGCTCACGGCTGCTGGCCGTGCGCACCGAGAGGACTCCGAGCACTCCGCAACACTGCGATGACTAACGGGGAGTCCCGGCGAGTAACCTCACTCACGTTCTCCCGCTCCCTGCCCCGGGCACCCGGCAGGGACCGCCAGGCAGTGCCGAGCTGCGACAGCGCTGCTCTCCCGGCCTGGACACGGTCCGGTCTCCCGGAGCCGTCGCTCCTCTTTCCCGTGGGGACTCCACACTACCTCGGCAACTTCCCGACAGAGTGCGGTACCCTCGGAAGGGAGATCCCGTCCCCGGCGCGGGCACGGCTGGAAGCCCCGCCCCGCCTGCCCCGCGGGCCGCCCGGCGCATCGCCCCGGCACCGGGCGGTCCCGAGCACCGCCCCGGCAGCGGCCACCTGCGAGCGGCGCCCGGCCAGGCCCGTCCGCACTCAGCCAGACTTGGGAGACTTTTCCTGCCGCTGGAGGCAGCGCTCCCCCGGCCCGGCCCGGCCGCGGCGGCCGTCACTCGGGGCTGTCACAGCCCCAAGGCTGCTCCGCGTCCCGGCCCCACAACCTGGCGGACGGGCCAGACCGCGGGGGACGGCGGCGAGGAACGGCCTCCCCCCGCCGTGCCCGCGGGCCCGGCCCGGCCGCACTCACCCTCGCAGTCCCCGTCGCGCAGCGCTCGGCCACCGGCCGGCAGCAGGAGCAGAGCCAGCGCCGCGCAAAGCCCGTGTGCCGCCCGCATCCCGCCTCGCCCGGCAGCACCCGCCGCACCGGCACCACCGGCACCGCCACCCCGCACCGGCTGCCCCCGCCGCCGCCGCCCCATTGGCCCGCTCCCCGCCCGGCCGCCACGCTCTCCGCTCCCATTGGCCGCGCCGTCGCCTCCACGAGAGAGTTGGCGGCCGCTGATTGGGGAGAGGCGGCGGAGCGGCGGCGCGCGGCGCGGGTCCCCGCCCCCCTGCGCTGCCATCTTTGTTGAGGGCAGGGCGCTCGCGAGCGCTCCCTGAGGGCGGCCGCGGGCGCCATCTTGGAAAGGGGCAGATCCTCGCACCTGCGGGCGGGCGGGGCCCGGGATGCACTCTGCGCTCTCCCGGCGGAGCGGGGCCGGTGCGGCAGCGCAAGGTGGGCCTGAGGGGTGGCTCGGGGCCCCCGAGCGGCCTGGAGTCGGCGGGGCAGAGGGGCGGGCGGTTCGTGCGATGGGTGTCCCTGAGGGGTGGGAGCAGCTCGGTGCCGGCGCGGGCACAGCCCTCACGGGTGGCTCGGGGCACACCCTGTGAGGTACCAGGACTGGATGCTTTGAGGAGGGACAGCTGAGAGGTCAAAATAGCGACCTGTGCACTTGTTTCTGGCTTCTTGTGTGGGTGTTTTTGCAGAACGAAATTTTTTTGTTTAATTCCAACTTAATATCCTAGCTGCCGGGCCTGTCACCTTTTGCTCAGTCACATAGGAGGATTCTTGGGGTTGTCTGGTGCTGGGGCTATGAGTTGGACTTTGGTGATCCTTGTGGGTCTTTTCCAACTCAGAATATTTTTATTCTGTTCCAAAAGTCCTCATAGTTTGTGCTGTTAACTACCTTCAACAACCCCCATCACTGTAAGTTTTTAACTGAAATTCCCTTGAAGTTGGCAGAGGAGCACACCCGCTGCTTTGTGTGTAACTGTATCCAGTGAAGGAAGGAGAGGCAAAGTCACACAGCCCTGCGCCATCACAAGGGAGCTCCGTGAGCTCTCCTGCACAGGCAGGCTCTTGCTGCAGCCTGGTGGGGCAGTGCCTAATCAGGATTTCCTTGCAGATCATCAGGTGCAAGTGAGAAGCTGACGAGGTGAGACAGGCAGTGTGGGGAGGAGGAGCACCTGGTTCAGGAAAGGTCACTGCAGGTGAGCAGTAATTAGGGCATTAATTACCAGTGAGAGTACATCGTGTGTTTATTAGGAGACGTGGTTTTGCACATTTCTGGATCTTTTTATCTCTCCAAATGTGGTTATTAAGATCAATATAAATATTATTAAGTCAGTCCATAATGATTTACAGAATTGCTCAATATTAGTATACTTTAGGAAGATTATTGGCTTTTTAAAAATTATGCTCGTTGCCCACTAAAGTCACTTAGCTGTGCAGAGAAGTGGTGGCTTGAAGTGCCCTTGTTTCTTATCAGGATAGTGGCCAAAAGAGCTGTGAGATGCAGTGGCTTCGTAATTAGGTGTGAATAGAGCTTAAATTTGGAATTAGGAGACTTTAGGAAGGTCATAATAAGGACAGAGTTTACCTGCCAAAATAGTGCAGTTATGAAACATCTTCAAAGTAGGAACTTTACACATTTTTGTGGAACAGGAGACAAGTGATTAATAAAATCACTTGGTTTTGGATTGGGAAATGAGCCTCTGTATTTCAATGTGGGATCCTCAGATGGGTCTGAGGAAGAACAAGGACTCCTTTGGTGTTTTGGTTTTTTTTGTTCTTTTTATTTACAGTTTGTTTCAGCAGCTAGAATGGATTCCTTGCATTTTACTTTGTGCTTCTTCTTGATCCATGGTGGGGTTTTTGGGGCTCTGTTTGTTCCACCACCCTCCAGGCCCCGTTTCTGTGAAGCATTAGGGGTTTGTCCTGGCTGAGAGCTGGTGATGGAGAGCTTGTGCTGGTCCTCACTGTTGTTTCTTCCCAGTATCCAGTCCAGCCCTGGGCTTTGTCAGTGTGAAGCTGGTCCCCCCTGTCCTCATCACTCTGGAGCCTTGTCCAAAGTCCCTCTCCCGCTCTTTTGGAATGCCTTTAGGCACTGGGAGGTGCTCTAGGTCTGCATGGAACCTTCTCTGCTCTGGGCTAGCCAGCCAGTGGAGTGGGCAGGAGAGTGAATTTGGCTCAGTGGATCTGTGGGGATTGGGGTCGTTGGGAAGTGCAGGGAAGCAGAGGCTGTTCCTGGCAGCTGTGGGGCTGTGTGAGAACACAAAGCTCTTACAGCCACGGCGAGGGATGAAGGGTCAGCCTGGGCTTGGGCTGTGAGGACAGAGAAGTGAGTTCTGTCAGGGGGACAGGAAACAGCTTGGGGAGAGGTGATGCAATATTGCTGTGAATGAATGCTGAACAGAAGATGCAGTGTGATAGATCTACTGTTCCAAATTTGGGGTTAATTTGTGTGGGATTGACAGTAAAGGCCATCAAAAGAGAGAAATGGTGTTTGAACCTTCTCTTAAGACACCTGAGCTTGGAGCTGTGCCTTGTGAGCTGTGTTTGTGTCCATGGCTTGTTAAGAGTCATCCAGAGATGGAGGCACATTTATGCATAGGGTGTAGAAGGCTGAATCTTTCATCTGCCAGGTTAGAGTCATTTCTAGAGGTTTAATTTCTCCTCTTATCAGCTTTGTAATGAAATTCATACTGAGTCAGACAAGTCATATTTTGAAACTGTGCTGAAGTTTTCTTATTTAGATAAGAGGTATTTGGACATGGGATTTAGATTTCAATCTGACTAGTGGCAGCTTAAATAAAGTATTGGACTTGCACTGAAAAAAAATTGTTCTGTTGGATTTAACAGAAACTAGAGCATTTTTAAAACTCTTGTTTAAATCTTTTGTTGTGCCAAAACACAGTTTTTATTACCTGTGCTTGGTTAATAAATACTTTTTGTCCAAATAAAAAATACTTAACTAAGATTTAATAAGCTGGCTTGAAAACACTCTCAAAGGGTCTGATTGAAGACAGGGTGAAGGGTTGGGAACATAAGTCCTAGCAGGAGTGGCTGAGGATATAAGGTGTTGAGGCTGGAGGTCTTATCACTCTTTACAGCTGCCTGGAAGGTTGTAGCCAGGTGTGGGTCAGCCTTTTCTCCCAGGGGACAAGGGACAAGAGGAGAGGAAATGGCCCCAAGTTGTGTCAGAGAAGGTTCAGGTTGGATATTAGGAAAAATTTCTTCACTGAAAGGATGGTTAAGCCCTGGAAGAGGTTGCCCAGAGAAATGGTGGAGTCACCATCCCTGGAAGTGTTCAAAAACCACGTGGATATGGCACTTCACAATATGGTTTAGAGGGCAGAGTGGTATTTGGTTGAAGATCTGGGAGGTCTTTTCCAACCGGAATGACTCCATGGTTCTATTCTATGACTGATACAGACTTCAGTACTCTGTTACAGTTTCTCTTCTCAGTATTTGTATCTGGTGTGTGTCAAGGGTGCCTTGGCAGTCCTCGTACATCCTGGGGCCACCTGAAGACTCAGACTTGCTGCTAAATGTCTTTTGGTTTCAAAGTTTTTTTGTTGGTTTGTCAAGACTTTAAATGAGTTATTTGGTCTCCTGTACAATGACCTGGTTTATTAGTGGTAATGGAAGAAAATTTGAGATTAGGAGCCTGTAGAAGTCACCATAGCTCTCAGTTCCCAAATCCTGTGTTCCTACATGTCTTTCACAGCTATTCTGTTAAAATGATCAGTATCTAAGTACAATTGCAATAAAAGAGTAGCAGTCTTTTAGACAGTGAGGCAGTGGTGGTTTAACCCCAGCTGATAAGGAAGTGGCCCCCAGCCACTCCACTGCTGGCCTAGGGGAGAGCTTTCTCTGAGAGTATTGCCCCAAAACTGTGCCTGGGGCTGTTGCAAGTGCCCATGTACCTGACTAGCCCAGGAGGGGGCTGTACCTGCTGCTTGCTTCAAGAAGTTGATATTAAATAACAATTAAACATGGAAGCCATTCCCTCACCACACACAAAGTCCTTTAGGTTGCCCCCATTTTTCTCATTCACACAAAGGTGGGAAGTGAGGGCTCTTCCTTGTCTCTTGTGAGGGTTTGGAGCAGCCTGAGGATAGCCCTGCCTCAAGGACAGCAATGACCATACAGCTGTACTGTTTTAATGTCAGGTATTAATCTTTAATTCCACATCACAGCAGTCGAGTGAATGGGTAAGGGAAAGGAACCCAAAACAAACGGCAGATATTTACATCTAAAATTCACACCACTTATTTGTTGGTTCTGGAAACATGCTATCACAATATATACAATGAAGTACCTTTAGGACACTTGTACAAATTAATTTTTTCCTTTTGAATTTGATTTCCATTATAGATAAGATAGCTGTTTTCATTTTATTTTAAACATGAATACACAAAAGAGAAGTGGTTAGAGGTTTTCGCCTTTTTTTTTAAATAAGCACAGAATGCCAGAGGTTAAAAACACATTTACAGGGCAGAATACCAGTCAGACATCACAATCTATACATTTTTTGCTCAATTTCCTGTACAAATACACAGCATTCAAATGGGGGTATTTACAAAGAAGCATGACCAGAGGAAATTTTAAATATCACATAATTTGTTTCCCAAAGGCTCTTGCTCTCTCCAGCCTCCCCAGTTTTGGCTGATACTCCTTAGAAGGGATATGCAATATCCCTTACCTAAAAAAGGGTAAGTAAGCTAAAAACCAAAGAGGAAAATACGAAAAAGGATCTGAGTCTTGCATACAGCAATAAAACCAACCCAACTATTGGGAAAAAAAACATAGGATTCAGAGAAATTGTTTTAATTGCTTTTCTTCTACCACTGTAGCTCCTTCTCAATTTTGTTTCAGATGGGGCCAGCAGGTACACTGATGATGGAGAGATTTATAGCAGAATTCCACCAATTTTCTCAGGAATGCACATGCTATTTTCTTATGCAAAGAAAACCCAATGAAAGCAAGTACACTGAGGTTTGAATTAGAGTTAGGTATAGAATGTCAAGGTCCTGTTCAAAACATCCTGTTGCTGTGGTTTATACAAGGAATCTTCAAATCCTGTTGGGCAAGTGCAACAACTGCTGTTGCTTCCACCTACTCCAGGACTGAGCTCGACGTTGGAGTT